TAGTTCAGTTTTGTGTTTATCTGCCCTCCTTTGGTTCTGCTTCCCCATTTAGATCATTGTTGTCACCTGTCTTCCCTCCAGCCCTCACTCCACACACCTGCTTCCTGTTTCCCTAATTGTTCCTCCCAGTCTATTTAAGCACTGTCTTGTCTCAGCGTTGTTGTCGGTCCATTATTGTTTGTCAGCGTTGTTTCGTGCTCTAGTGAGCTTATGTCTCTAGGTTTTGTTGCTTTAAGTGAGCTTTCGTACTCCTGTTGTTCAGGACTTGGTTTTTGGCTTCCTCCCCTTTTTGGATTTTTGGTTCATCACCTAATAAAAGGATTTTACTTTTAAACCCACTCCTGGCTTGTGTCATCCTGGGTACTGCTTTTTGGGTCCAAACCATCCTCTCAACGTGACAGTATGTAACAAGCAACAGTGTTGTTTTTGCTGATACACAAAAATCAGTTGGGATGCACCTGGAGGGGAAATGAGACATTGTGGTCCCAAGAAAAACAGATTACATGATCTAGAGTATGATCCTGACCCCATCTTCACACTTGAAGGAACATCAGCGGTGCAGATGGGTGTACTCGCGAGCTTCGCTGCGTGCCAGTACACACCAGGAGAATGAGTCGCAGAGCGGTTTTACCGCCGTGCTCCTTGCTGGACTCGCAAGATCACAAGGTTCTTCAAGACTTCCGCCACATCATTGTACTTCTCAAAAGATACTGGGAGTAAATAAGCCGTTAGGTCACATGTAGTGGCGTAATCTACATAGACACAAAATTGCACCACTGCTATAGTCTTTCATTTTTAAAATTACATTTACACTGAAGCCGAGTGTGATTTCCTGTCTAGTCCTGTTGTGGAAATTGCAAAAGTAGCTCACTGCAAAAATAGAATCCTAGCATCCTGTCTCTAGCAGCGGTGCAACGCGCTGCTTCTGGGACATACCTGTAGAAGTCCGCGTCACCGTTCGTTTTAATCACCCCCATAGACTATAATGGATTCTCTTTGAAGTAAAGAAGTTCTGCTGACGTTCCGCGCCGCTGATGCTTCCAGTGTGAGGTAGAAGTAAGTGAAGATACTTCCTCCTGCTAGAACGTCCCAGATCCAAGGAGACTTGCATGTTTCTACATGTACTGATAAACTCGGACTCATGTATCAATGCCATCTCTTATTATCTGATGGAAGGCATTTCTGCTGCTGCAATGTTTATTTTCCTAAAAAAATAGTTCACTTGACAACTTGCTTCATATTAAATTTTATTAAAACAACCAAGTATTTCTATTTCAATACTACTTCCGCAGTATCAGAATTATCTACAAGTAGATAATAATGGACACGTCTGTTTGATAGCAATAAGGAAGTAATAAAGGTTGCTGCATAAGCAAACTGAACAGTCGGTTGCCAGATATCAAGAATTAACCCTCACAAACCAGATGGAGAAACATTAAACTGAAGATAACTGACACCAGAATCCCAGGAAACTGATCCAGGATATCTACAAAGAAACACACTCGAACACCAGTCCACACGGATGCGATGATTGAGTTTCAACGTATACCACTTTCTGAAAGGCCCTGATCATGTTTGTTTGTGTAAACAGTCACACAGGTGTGGAAGGAAATTTTTACATAGCAGCTAAAACAAGCTAAAAAAAATGCCACGGCATACACAAAACAGATGTTTATCCGTCACGCTTTCTCCAACACACTCTTGCTCCACAGAAAAGAGCCACAGTGTCTCTCACATGCACGTCTACTTTCAAACATATATTCCAAGCCTCCTTGCAGGTTTCCTGTGCTCCACTCCTTGAGAAGACAAAGAGCAGACAGTAAATGTCACAAGTTACTGCTGTGCCCCTGCATGTTGCCAGGATGGCCTAGGGTTCCTCCCTGCTAGAAGACTGAGTGGGCTGCTTTTAGGACAATCCTGATCTCACTCAGCTCTGTATGGACTACAGTGAGCAGGAAAGTCTTGTCCAGGACTTAGTTGTGAAAAGTCTAGTGGGGAGGACTTAAGTCTAAGATTTGCTTCAGAGAGTAAAAGGAATCTAAAAGCTTTTGTTTAAACCAGACTGGATGGATCGTTCAAGGCTGCACAAGTAAAGCTAGCTACAGTCCACATGCTCGTGATGTCAGCTTTACTCCTCCTTTTTTTCTTTGAAACTTAATAATTCACAATAATTTTAAATACAGGAGCAGCAGCAGATACAGTTACCCCGTTGATGATGAGCTGATAGAATTTCAATAGGGAAACTTTGGTTTTCTCATGAGTTCATGGAATTCTGTAACATGTATTGATTTGAAAAGCCTTGAAAAGAAAATTATGCTTTAATAATAATAAGATATTCTTATGTCTCCTGACTGCAAATTACATTTTAATATGTCAAAAATGTACAATTTTCACAGTAATCTTTATGGAACAATGTTTGACCCCAGATGTGAAGAATATTTAAAACATCAGTACATCCGTAGAAACTATCCCGAGTGAAGGTGGTAATCATAAGACTCACCAATACGATTTCCTGGTGGGCGACACGAGTCCAGCATCCGAAGCATACGAAAAGGTGACAGCCTCAGCGGGGCATCTCTTTCCCCCGTTCTCATACCCTCTCCCAGTTTAGTCTCTCCCACTCTGGGAGCTCGACCCAAGAACCCTTGAGGAATGTCTGACATATCCACTGTTATTGAGGAGTTTAAGCACCAGCATGCAAAAAGCGTATCTAAAAGTGCATTTCACAAGAAGAAAAGACTACCCTGGCCTTTTCCTGAGGATCAGTTCAAGTTTCAGTCCACAGGGCTTGGTGGTGCCCAGCGTTTCAGACAGTGAAGATGATTGAAGGTCCAAGCTTTTTCTGTCTGAGAAAGTTCCAATTTACTGTACTGCAAAAGGAGCTCCAAGTTGAGGACTTACACCAGGACAGTGCTAGCACACTAATCACAGCAACAACTCCCTCTGCTGCTACTCCACTTTAACACTATCTCTACTTCTGTTTTTCTATACACACCCTCACTTCACCTCTCCTTTCTATTTTCTCTTTCTGCAGCCACACGCTTTGCCGGCTAAGGAAGGTCAAGCTTCATGCAGATAGATGAAATGCTGCAGAGACAGTCTAGTACATTCAAACCTGGAGCACTCACAGTAACAGGTGTTCTGTCTGCAAACAAAGGTTCGCTATGCGTTTATCTTACAGCAGAACAAAACGAGTCTGCAAGTCACTTGTTCAGCCATCTGACCTCATTGGGTACCAGATCTTCTCTTTACCTCTTTCACTGGATACTTTCCCATATAGGTGCAGTCTACTTTCCTGATTTTCTTGAAGTTTTCCTCTTCATTTGCCCTCCCTTGTTGTCCTTGGCATTCCAGTTCTTCTGCACACCACTCTATTCAGGCTGTTGTGCTTCCACTCTCCTCTATCACTCCCTCCTTGCCGGTGGCGCCCCATCAGTGCTTCAGTCCTCTCGCTCCCTCCCTTCACCTTACTTACTCCTCCCTCTCATGTGACAGCACACTTTCGCTCTCTCTCTCTCTCTGGCTCCTTCTGCCTCCATCTCTCCCCTCCCTTGTTCGGAGTTCAGAGATTGAATTAAATATCAGTTCCACGTCTCGAGCCATGGGCTGATGACAATTTTTGCGCGGCCAGCCTCTTCATCAGCTTCTTTTTTGCCTTCTCTCTCGCTCATGTTCTTTTCACCGTAAAAAAAAATGAAGCCCCAAGGTTGTTGATCGGTTCCTCTGATATCCTTTTTCCTCTTCCTCTCTTTCCGCCCTTCTTTGTGGGCATGACAGACAATTTTTCATGATTCACGCACATCAAACAGGCACAATATCCTTTTCTTGTGCCATAATACAAAAATAAAACAGTCTGACAGAGCTGTTGAGCATATTTCAATGTATTCCTTATGTTTTTGTTATTGTTTAAAGCATTGATTCTTTCAAAGTACAACAACTGGACAGCTGTCTTACACTTTTATAACAACCTCTGGTCCAAAGTAGCTAATCGTTGTCACCTGACTCAAGGCAGAACAGCTTCTTAAAGGGACATGAACGTCGCCAACACCTTTTTATTTTCATCATTATTATCTAATTTATTGTCATGGATATGCCGAAAACCAAAACATTATATCGGTTAGTCAGAATTTTTGATACATTCTCAATTTATTGCCCAGCCCTATCGTGGGTGCCACACTGTTGGCTGTAATCTTCTCATGTGATTACAAATAATTCTCTCTAGGTTTCTAGGTACCAAAGAAGCTAGCAAAGGTGAATTTTTAGAAAAAAATGGAGGTGTTGGATGGAAACAATTTCCAAAATGTCAATGAAAATAAAAGTATAAAAGATCTTTCCTCATATTAGTCTTACAGATAATTCCTGTGAAAAACTGATTCACAGGCCTATGGGAGATTAAACCTCACATCCTCTTTCTTGTTTTATCAAAATGATCTAAGAAAACTCCGTCACACCGATATACTCACACACCCTTATTGTCAATAATGATGCACCCAAAGGTAAACCAACTTAAAAAAGCATTAAAAGTGTTTAAAATGTGACAGTTTACTTAGCATATCCAATGACTTTCTGTAAAACATTTATGTGTGTGAAAGCTAATGTCTTCTACTTACTTGACACACACTTGGGAGTTTTTTTTATTTGAGGTAATTCATTAGAAATGTCTCCATGATTGAAGCAGCCCTTTGCTGTGCACTGTCTGATGCATTTTAATGTAAAAAGATGGATCTTTCAGCTTTAGGCCGTTAAAAACGCCAAAGAAAGAAGCTAGTCACTGAGTCCTTTACCCTTCACTGTTTCCCTGTTGCTTATATTCACAGACACAACTTTACACATGAAAGATTTCCTTTTGCTTTACAGACATTTCACGCAAGGCCTTGCTCACAGCCAACTGCTACTTCTTTAACATCTCTATTGTCACATTGTGTTGCTGCATTTGAGTTTGCATGTTAAAAACGCATGTTCTGCAATTTCTAAAAGTAGAATTACCACAATAAGCTTAT